TCCGGGGCGGAGCGGCGCGGTACCACTGGGGTAAGTAGTACTGGCCCCCGCCGCATTGAGCCACCCAAGTCTGCACGCTCCTCCTCCCCGCCGGCCGCCACCCGGCTTCCTGCACTAGGCTGCGGCCGCCGCCGCCCCGCCTCTCCTGGGACCTTGCAAAGGGCGGGGAGCCCGGCGGGAGGAGGAGCCTGAGGACAGTCCGCGCCCCTACCAGTGTCTGGGGAAGGGAGGGCCAATGTGAGCCTCCTGGACAAGTGTCGCGGTCAGGGATTTCAGACTTGCCCTGGGTCTTGATCCGCCCAGTATGCAGCCAGCTTGGCTGGAATCGCCACCATTCATGCAAGGAACAGGCTCGCGGAGTCGGGGGGAGGGGCTGCGGCCGCCGGCAGATGTCCTGGGTCCTTCAACAAGTAATGATAACAATAACCATGACAACTACTTGTAATTTACCATGTGCCACGTGCTATTCTGAACGCTTTATAGGGAGACCCAAGTGCCACTTTTTTGCGGAGCAGGATGGAGATCAGAGAGCCGCAGAACAAGCCTAAAATACCTCGGGGGATGCTCCATCTGTTAGGCAGATTCCTGGGAGATTTAGGCAATCCTCACGGGTCCCCTCCTCCAGGAAGCCTTCCTAGATGCTCTGGTGAAGGCACCCTCCACTCCAGGGCGCAGCACTTTCTTCACATCTTTTTTATTTAACTTTGAGAGGTTAAAGGCAAGAGGTTGCCTCCTGCTTCTGTTTTACAGGAGAAACTGAGGCCCAGATGGGCCAAATGAGGACTACTTGGGCAGCCAGGGATAGCGTGGATAGACACTAAGGCCTGACTGACTCTGCTGGGCCACTGCCACCATCACCTCTGGGCCCCTTTCTCTAGCTCCCCCCACCTTCCAGCTGGCCTGGGAGATGAGGGGTCCGCCTGGTGTTTGGCAGCAATCAGACCCTTTGTTGGGGCTGGGAGAAAATTGCAGAGTCTAGAGAGGTGCCATCGGTCGTAGGAATTGACCAGTCTGGAGCCCTCTAGACCAGCAGTCCTCAACCTTTTTGGCACCAGGGATTGGTGCTCCTATGAGAATCTCATGCCTGATGATCTGAGGTGGAACTGAGGGGGTGATGCTAGCACTGGGGAGCAGCTGCAAATACAGATTAAGCTTTGTTTGTTCACCTGCTGCTCACCTCCTGCTGTGCAGCCCAGTTCCTAACAGGCCATGGACCGGTATCAGTCTGCAGCTCAGGGGTTGGGGACTCCTGCTCTAGACGTTGGGTGGCCAAGAGAAGAGAGACTCTATCTCCATCTTTATCCTGTTCTGTCCTCCTGGCTCTTAGGAAGTCCCTCCACTCTGGCCTTTTCTCCTGCTGCATCCATCCTACCACTGAGCTGACATTTCCTGAGCACCAGCTACCTGCATTCCAGGAACTTCCGGCATACCAGGCCCTGGCTAGGCACCCCACCTAATGCAGGGAAAGGGCACCAAAAAGCCCAGATTAGTGAGGTCAAGAAGATTGTTTGGGGGGGAGTGAGGTGGGGGGTCTGTGGCAAAGGGGCCTTCATCTTCCCAGGTGGCAGGGTTGTGGCTTTGGGGACGCTTACATGTTGTCAGATGATCTTGATTTCAGCCAAAGGGGTCTCTCAGTTGCCAAGGCGTTCTGATTAATGCAGGAGAGAAGACCCCAGCAGCTCCTGCTGCCCATCTGGTGCAGTCGAGGCCAAACCAACTCCTAAGCTCAAGGGGTTTCTTGGGGCCCATTGGGCCCAGGTTGGGTGGGGTTTGCTCTTCTCCAGGTTAGGTAGTCTGATCCTGGGTACTTTGGTACTCCAAGCGGGGTTAGAGGTGGGAGGGGGTCATCCATGAGCCTGGAAGGAAATAGCCAACCAGGCAAGCTCTGCAATGTACAAGCTTTGAGCTGAGCGTGGGCACAGAAGGGCCTAGGGGCCCATGGACATCCAGGGAGCCACTGACAGCTGGACAAGAAGGGGTCAGAGTGGCGAGTCAGAGAAGTCTTCTTAAAGGCATTTGAGCTTTGCAGAATCGGAACAAGTGGACAAGTCTGGGTTAGCGCATTCCAAGTGGCCAGCACAGAAGGAGCCTGGGAGAACGCCTAGGCAAAACCAGAGCCATCGACGCGCTCTATCTTCTTCCACTCAGGTCTGACTGCGCTGGCCGCTTTCTCGCTGATTGGCGTTGGACGCGTCAAAACTCAGAAGCCCTTTCCTTCATTCGCCCCCTACCGGCTGGGCGTGATATTGGGGAGAGGGCGGGCCCTCCTACAGTAGCTCAGCATTGATTGGCTTTCAGGCCTTCCTGCTCTCCCATTCTCGTCGCTGGATTGGCTGTGAGACTCATCTACTCACTGGGCTTGCGCGTTGCAAGACGCGAGAAGAGGGGGTCAGCGGGCAACATGGCTGCTGCTGCGGCCGGTGTGGGTCGGCTAGAGGAAGAGGCGTTGCGGCGAAAGGAACGGCTGAAGGCCCTACGGGAGAAAACCGGACGCAAGGTGAGGAATGCGGAGTGAGGGCCGTGACTGAAGTAGCCAGTGTTCGGTTTCAGAACAGGGACGACAGGGCAGGGGACTACCGGGAAAAGGCAGCTGCCGAGAGCGCGCATGCGCGCACGGCCGGAGCATGCGCGAGGCGTCGGCGCCCGCCCACCAAGTCGAGCTCCGAGCGCGGGAGTCTGCCCAGCGCTCGTCGCGCATGCGCGGGGACGGCCGCGCAGTGGTCCGCGCTTCAGGCCCTTTGGCTCTTGCCAGATGTTTACTGCTTGGGTTTACAGGGTTACTTAGGTTTTAGATGCTTGTTGCTTTAAGCATGATTGGTTCGCGTCTGAGCCCGCTGAATCTGCCGTTTCCCCATGACCCACCCGGCCTTTCTGGTGAAATTCCTTGAGTCTGGCAGACCCTCCCCTGTCTGCCCTCGCGTCTTGGGCAGAGCAATACGGAACTGTGTGCTCTGGGCGCCTAGTTGGAATAGAAAAGTACAAGAATCCAAAAGGAAAGACCCATTAATAGGTCA